AAGTGGAGCCAGTTTTCTTTATGTTAATTGAAATTAAAATATGTAAGCTCTTTTGTATTTATGAAGTAGAAAAGCTAAAGGTTATTTGGTGAGAGAAATCACATAGAGAAATTCCCAGGGCTGAAGTTTTATACACACCAGAGAGTATATTCTTTATTTTTTCAGGAAAAAAATATTAAATGTGTGCTTATTTTGATAAAACACATAAGAACTAAAAATAAAAATATCAGTCATAGTTAAATGATCTGTAACTATTTATATTTTGGTATGTTTTCTTCCAATTGCTTTATTTCTGTTTTTAAACTTATAAGAAATTGTAGTAGTTAAACCCATAGCACAAATGGCCATCTACTCTTTCATATATAAATACCTCAATTTATATAATAATTATTCCTTTATGAAAAACTTCCTTTATGAAATATTGAGGGTTTTGGATGTGTGGTGGTGTAAATAACCCTGTAATAATTGCTCATAAACCTCTGTTCACATTTTAAAATACTTTCTGATGACATATCCCCACAGAAGAAATTACTGTTAATGACATAAATATTTTAAAGCCTCTTAATAACACTTATAAAACTGCTTTTTAGAAAGTTTGTTCTGTTTACATGCCCAACAGCAATGAACATGAATACCTATTAAGATGTAACAACATCCCACAGGTGCTGGAAATGTGTTCACAGATAGAAACAAAAAGCTATTATAAAATTACACCTGATGAAACAGAAGGGGAGGTGAAAATAAAATTTCATCCCTAGAAAGAAAGAAATCATGTGTGTTTTGTCCATCCCATTATGTCCTATGTGAGTAAGGACACCTTGTTATTTTAACTTTATCGTTACCTTGCGTGATTTTTTGGTTTTTTGAACTGTGGTGGTTTTTTTTTTTTTTTTTTGCATATTTTAATAGGCTGTTTATCTTTTATCGTTGAATTTCAGGAGTTATTTATATATTCCGAATACAAGTCTTTTGACAGATATATTTAGTGCTAATACATTCTCTATCTCTTCTCATCTTTTTATTTTCTTTGTTTTGACAAGCAGCACTTTAAACATTCTTCTGAATTCCAGTTCTATGAGGTAGCTTATTTCATGTGAGTGCTTTCTGCACCTTTCTTAAGAAACCTTGCTTATTCCAAGAAAGGTTGGGAAAATATCCTTTTGTGTTTGATTTTTAAAGATTGGTAGTTTTAGCTTTTGTGTATAAGTCTGTAATTCAGCCCAAATTAATTTGTGTGGATTGTGTAAAGTATGTATTAAGATTCATTTTTTAAAAATACGTTTACCCAGTTTTTTCCAAGCATTATTTGTTGAGTAGACTTTGCTATAGAATTACTTTAGTGCCTTTCAGTTGAATGTGGTTCTATTTCTGGACTCTGTCCTGTTTCCCTGATTTATTTCTTTATCCTTATGGCAGTACCACACTGTTTTGATTACTGTAGCTTCATAGTAAGTCTTCAAACGGGTAATATGAATCATTCCACTTTGCCCTTCTAAGAATGTTTTGGGTATTCTGTCTTTTGCATTTGTACATAAATCTTAAAATCCGTTTGTGTTGACCAAACAAACAAACAAAAAACTGCTGGGATTTTAATTGGGATTGCTTTGAATCTTTAGAGTAGGGAGAATCGACATGTTACCAGTATGAGTGTTCCAGTCTACAATTACATCTTTCTCCAGTTAGCTGTTCTCTCATTTCTCTTAGCAAAGTTTTATAGTTTTATAGTTTCAGCATGATTTTCAGGCTTTTGCATACCATCTGCTGATTTTATTCCTAAATCTTTTATGTTCTCTTCTCTGCTCCCACCCAGCCAGGATTGCCCATCATTCCCATCTTACGGCAAGTAGAGTAAGGGCTTGAGTACTAAGAAAGAGAATGAAACTTGGAGACAAGTATCATGGGTAGGAGTGTAGTGTGGAAAGACACAAGGTCTCAAGCCACACCTGTGGCATGAAGGGAAGTTGTTATGGTCTGGGCAACAGGGCAGTAATGGCAGTGAATATACTTTGTTCAGGGGATGTCTTTGTTTGCCTATCAGGGCCCCAGCTATCAGAAGGGCAATATTTGAAATTTTCACAAGAGTAATAGATGCTAGATAAAATAGATAATTCAATCTCTGTCACGAATAAACCACGATATTATCACCAGTAAATGATTCCTTCTAGCAAATCATGGGGATATTTATGGTTAAGCCTAGACCACCCTGAGTGATGAAAAATAAGCATTTCTAATAAGCATTTAAAGTATTAAGGAGGGCAGGTATTGCATGGAGCACTGGTGTGGTGCATAACAATGAATCTTGGAACACTGAAAAAATAAAAATTACCTTTACTCTAACTTGTTCCAAAAATAGCGTGGCTGTGCTAATAATAATAGAATTGTCTTTATCCCAAAAAGCTATGTAGTATAATTCCTCCTGTGCCTCACAGTGATCTTGGGTTGATTTTGAAATGCCAGTGGACAGCTGTTTACGTGTTTGTGGTATTTGCTGCTGCTCTAATTTGAGGCTGAGAAGATGACTTAAAAATGCTCTACAGTGGGGCGCCTGGGTGGCTCAGTGGGTTAAGCTGCTGCCTTCGGCTCAGGTCATGATCTCAGGGTCCTGGGATCGAGCCCCGCATCGAGCCCCGCATCGGGCTCTCTGCTCAGCAGGGAGCCTGCTTCCTCCTCTCTCTCTACCTGCCTCTCTGCCTGCTTGTGATCTCTCTCTGTCAAATAAATAAATAAAATCTTTAAAACAAAAAAAAATGCTCTACAATACCGTGTATGCCTTCTCATACCTTCTCCAACCAAGGGGTTGGAAAGTATTTAAAACAGTTTTCAATTCTGTCAAAGTCAAAGGAAGAAGTTCTCACCTGGCAGGTTCTGCATTTTTATTTGTGATTAGGCCTAGTCAAGGGTGACCAAGGGGAGGAGAAGAAATGGCATTTCCGGAACACCGGATGAAGGGATAGAGTTCTCAGCTGAGAAGTACTTGAAGGCAAGGGAAATATATTAGAAAAGTTCTGGACATGAGAGAGTGGCTCTAATCTAAGTGATTTAAGTGGATCGTTTGAGTACACCCAAGAAAAACTTCCGGCTGAATAACAAAGGACCAGGGAATAGACCAAAAAGAACGTTAGTAAATTCTGACTGCATCCTCCTCTGCTTTCTTGTTCTCCCAACTAATTGAATAAAATTGTACATAAAGCACACAATGGAATGCTTTTAACATTACAGGTGTTCTATAAGTAGTTCTTCTCAGTTTTTATTCTTTTTTCTTTCTATCCTTTTTGTCCCTTTGTGTTTCTTTTCTCTTTGGATTTATAGATCATCAAGTTTCTTTTACTCAAATTAATACAAGTACAAAAAAAAAGAAATTCAATGCATCAGAAAATATACATATCTGGCAGCCAAATAAGGGGAGGTTGACTTCACAAATCTCAGTTAACAAAATTTATTCCCCATTCATGGAAATGAGACATACGGAAACAGGTTGATACTATGTTTTAATCTTTGAAATTTTGAGCAAGTTACAATTTTACTCCTTTTTTAATATTTATTATAAGCTAATTGATAACTCAAAATACATAATATAACCTTACTGAAAAATTATTTAGCAATATCTGCTCAAGTTAATTGTACATCTCAGCTTAACAGCGTAACAATTGTTCTCATTGTATGTACCCAAGAAAAGTGTCTACCAAAAGATACATACAAGAAAGCTTATATCCACAATAGCTACAAACTGGAAACAACCAAATGTTTACCAGCTGAAGAGCAAATATATATATTTTGCTATATAGTACTTAAAAATAATGAACAAAAAACTTCAGATGCAAAAGAGTCAGCTACTATGGTTTACATGAATTTCAAGTTCAAAGAAATTGAATCTATGGTGATAGAAGTCAGAGTATTGGTTGCTAACTGGTTTGTGGGAGGGGTATAAAAAGACTGGAAAGGAGCACATGGAAAACTATAAATTATCTAAAGCTTGATCAGGATGATGATTCACATATGTGTATAAAATATTCATCAAGTTGTATAATTTGTGTACTCTTTTATAACCAAATATGTGTAATTTTCATTCATCCTTAAAAGGTAAATGATACTACATATGTAATAACATACACAACATAAAAACATATAGTATATAATTTAACATATATAAATATATATGTGCGCATATACATTTTTTTTTTTAACTAATTCAGGAAAGTTAATGCTAATTTTTTGTTTTTAACAACAGGCTTTTCATGTTAGATTGACTTTTCCATTCTTTGGCCACCATGGTGAACTGAGCTCTGTATTGGATTTTGATCCTCAAAGCTGCTTTACCTTTTATAATGTTTGTAATTGAGTAATTAATCTTATTTTGCATTTCATTGGTCTTATACAGATTAAATTGTAGGTTTGAGGAGGTTTTTGGTAAAAAAAAATAAAAGGATTTTTCCTTTTTTCCAAACTTTTCCCCCAAGTTTGAAAATTAACCAAGGGTGGGTTGCCAATGTAAATATGAATATATTTAATATATAATATATAGTTATATATTATAGCATATACATATATAAGATATATGTTATGTATACATATATATGTTGGGTAGCTATATTATGTATTTATACTTAAATAATACATATTATATATTTATATTTAAATTAGAAAAATCTCCCTTAACCTGTGCTTTATGTCCTTTATAGTCTTTTTTTCTCCTTACATTTGTTATTCAGTGGGAATAAATAGCACAAAGAACAACTTCTGTATTAAAGTAATGTGATTAAATTAAGACTGAAAATACGTAACACCGAAAAGTGGCTATTGAGAATTTTTGGTCAAGCTCATAAGAAGTTGAGACTTTTTAGTTTATTTTGTTAAGATGACTTATCCAAGGTTTCCCAATCCACTCCTGGCGAGCAACTTTCACTATGTTTATTGGGTTATTCAGAGTGCACTTGGGGGTTCTAGCTTTCCTGACTCTTAAGAACTAACTTCCAGCTTCCTTTGGACTCTTGAATTCATAGGCTGCCCTGCAAGTTGGAGGCCATGGGGAAAGGCTACACCAGTGTCGGGAGGTCATGCTGCTCACTTACAAGTCCATCCCCATGCAAGTGGACGGGGAGCCCTGTCGGTTGGCCCCAGCTATGATTCGGATCTCCTTGAGGAATCAAGCCAACATGGTACAGAAGAGCAAGAGGAGAACATCCATGCCTTTACTCAATGAGTGAGTCTGCCCCTTGCCTACCTTTGTGAACACAAAGACCATGAAGAGAACGCCAAGCATGTGCATGGTCTAGGGGCCTTACTGTGTTGAAAAAGGAACAAAGTCCGAGAAACAGCAGTTCCTTGGTCTCTCTGACATATCTTTCCTCATGTTTATTACACAGTGACCACACTCTAACTTTAGAAATAACTACTGTATTGTACACAAGGTAGATAACGCTTCTTCATTGACCACTTTGGTATAGATTTATTGGGAACAACAGAAAATCATTAAGAGTGATTCTAGGGTCATAAAATGCATCAAGATAAGAATGTTCTGTTTTGTTTTAAGAAGGCATGTTGCTGGCCTCTTTTCTACCCAGGTCACTTGGAGAGTGTTGGTTTCCCCAGCAGCGGGAGGTGGGCAGAGCTGGGTGCTTGAAGCTCACCCTCTCTCCACAATTGCATCCCCTTCTGCCTGTTAGTGAGTTACTTTCCTGATGCCCCCATATTGGGATCCCGTGGATGCTGGTGCTTCAACTCAATTTTGCCATTCTGAGTGGCATCCTGTTGTCTAGATACAACCTAACTATCTATTCCATACCGAAATAAACTGTATCCCTCTTGAACCCTTTCTTTTCTTAGGTGTTTTGACAAACCGATTTGAGATAAGGAGATAATAACTAGATATTTAGAGTATATATTCCTCTTAGAGTACCCCTTCATCTAATTGTTGTTGTTTTTTTTTTTGTTTTTTGTTTTTTTTTTTTTTAAATAGCAGTGTCTTTCTGGGGTTGGAGAAGGGGATGGGGAAGGATGGCAATTTAGGGCCTCTTTTTGAGTATCTTCTTTATATAATGCCCATATGGCTAGTCTAACCCAAGGTAGGGTCATTTCTGGGCTCAGCCTTGGGTCATTATTCTTTCCCTGGGGGGACCCTCCAAGGTGCTCCTCCTATTTGTGGCCTGTGGTGCATGGTTAATGATGTGTCCTGAATGGCTGGCTTCCTGCAGTGCCTGTGAAGCAGGGCATGCTTTGACAATCTACAGGAGTGCCTAGAATAAACCAGTGACACAGGTGCCATAGCTCACTGCCAGAACCTGACTTCACCTCTCTTTCTGAGATGGCATATGTTGAGGATTAGCATTAGGCGGGGCTCTTCCAGTGTCTGCATTTTCAGTATCTGCTTCTAAGTCTGAAGCTGGCATGAGAGAGCCTCTCTCCTCTGCTTCCCCCTTTCCTGGAGTCTCTCTGGACATCAGAGTCACTCAGCACTTTCCCCAGATCATTATCCAGACAGCCTGTCAGTTCTGTTCCTTACTTTGTTTACATTTTGCAGCTAGTGAAACTCCTAGCTCATTCCCCCTGGTTTTCTTTTCTCCTTGCTTGAACTCCCATTAGGCTGAATATACAACTGGCCAGTTTATATGTGAAAAAGGTAGGATCTCAACAACCATATACGGTTGACCAGATGCTCTCTAGAAATGTTAGTGTTAATCCCCGAACCAGTGGTTGGGGAGAAAGCTCTGAAACACTAAATGAAAAGCCATCTTGGAGACAGTATGGCAGCTCAGGTTGTTTTGGGTCACTTGGGGATAGTAAAGAAACTGTAATAAAACGAAAATTTCTTAATATCTACAGGCAATGACCTCCCATCCCTATTCCTGGTGGTGCTATATTTGATAACCTTATCAGACACAAAATTGTTTCCAGGTGCTTAGTTTCAAACAGCTCTTGCTCTTGAACCGAGAAAGAATTTGTATGTGCTCGGCAACTGTGGTGTTAAGAATTCATTCGGGCTTTCTTCACATATGAAAACAAACACAAATAGTTTTTTTCTTTTCGTACTTAGACTACATACAACGGATGATGCGATGGCATAGATAACAGCGGCGGGCTATTCGAGAAACAGCCTCAAGTCAAAAATCGTTCCTTCCCACCAGGGGGCAGTGGTGCATCCACCTAAGCAGCCTCCGGTCTCAGGAAACCCCTGAAGGACAATAACGAGCATTTCAGTTCCAAAAAGGACACTTGTAAAACTTAACTAAGATATTTACTGCTACCGATGATAAATAACTATTGAAACACTATATTTTTTAGAAAATCAATACAGATAGCACATTTTCAAAGGAAAACCAAACACCACCTCATCTTGTCACTAGTGTTAAAAACTAAACCTCGATTGCTCTCCCTCACTGCTCTGTTCATCCTCGGCAATTAGGTTTCTTCTTTCTATTTTACTAGAAATTTTTGAAATCTGACTTCTTGTTTTGAAATCTGACTTCTTTCACTGGATTTCCAGATGGAGTTTCCAGTTTGAGGGTTGCCTGGCCATGAAGACCTTTCTACAAGTTTTCTTCAACCTTCTAAGTCCTCTAGGCTTTTCTGCTTCGGCCACAATTGTGCCAAGTTCACTTCCGCAGCCATGGCAGAGAGATAATTGGAAGACATTTCTTTATTTTCTTCCTTCCCTCCCTGTTTTCCTCTTTCATTCTCTGTTTCTCTCTCATCCCTCCTTGTGTTCCATGACTCCCTGTTACCTCTGTTCCATTTGCCTATCTTCTTTCAGAAGAAAGAGAACTGGTTTGCAATGTCTGGAGAATTCATTTAGAAACCTCTGTGTGTCATGAGGATTGGGGGCTGGGGGTACGGAGTTAACGGTGTCTGTTTGAGAATCAAGTACTGTGGTTCCCTAAACAGCTGGCTTCCTTTTCCACTTGAGCAGTGGTGTTCCTCACAGGTTTGCCTTTCTCTGGGAGATCACATCTGTACCCCAGATTTCATCTGTGACTGATAAAGGAGTAATTTCACATCTGTGTCTTCTAGCCCAGCATTCCTTCTAACAGCCAGAGACTCACACCCAGATGTCTCAGGTGACATCTTTACCTGGATATCCCCTAGCAACCTCAGACTAGGGCTGAAAATGGGCTTATTAACTCCGCTCTCATTGCTTTCTCTGCTCATCAACCAGTGAGCCCTCTTCATTCATATTTGTCTACAAGGAACCATCTACCCATTCACCACTCCCCTGCCATGGAGTCTTCATAGTCACCCACACTGTTACACATCCACGTGGCCTTGGAGGCCTACCTTCTATTTATTTTCCATGTCTTTTTTGGGGGGTGGGGTGGTTAAAGATTTATTTATTTCAGAAAGGGCAGGAAGGGGCTGAGGGAGAGAATCTTCAAGCAGACTTCCTGCTGACGGCTGGGCCCAACTTGTGCCTTGATTCCATGACCCTGAGATGATGGCTTGAGCCAAACCCAAGAGTCAGACACTCAACCAACTGAGCCACCCAAGCACCCCTATTTCCCGTGTCTTTAATTCACACCAACTACCCACTCTGCTAGTAATACAGCTTCTGTTCAACGGCCATCTAAGTTCATTCACGCTGTCATCACTAAATGATGCTCATGATTCCTTGATTCCGATGTCACTACCCTTCACGCAATGCTTTTCCAATAGACTAATCAGAAGGATCTTTCTAGAAAAGTTAAACTTGTATTCCTTAGCCTTGCAGAACTTTTTGATCATTGCCATCATCATCCTCTTCCTGTGCTCCAGAGGTCATCGCTCATCTGGAGCACTGGCATCTTTTGCATGTCTCTTGCTCTTCTTGCTCTGTCTTCTTTCCTGCCTTTTTGTCAGTTGACTCTTGCTGAAGTTCAGGACTCCATTGAAATGTCACTTTCCCTAAGAGTCCTTTTCGATCTACTTCTAGATCGAAAGTGGATCTACTTCTAGATCTACTTCTAGATTCCATTAGATACTCTGTTAGGGTTCTAGATTACGTTCATCACGCCATCTACCAAGAATAATATAGTTCTTGGTTTACTTGTCTCTCTTTCCAGCTTGGAGTTTTCCTCTTAGGGTCCTCAGTGCCTACCAGTATGTCTGAGACATGATTAGCTGTTGAATAAGTGACTTGCACACGGACCAGATCGGTAATCCTGTATCTATTAACATTGCTCTGAGACTGCATCTAAAATAATATAGATCTAAAATCCATGAATATAAAAGTAACAGAGGTAACATCTTGATAACACTTGGCGTGAATAAATGGAAGATACATACTCAAGAATTTCAAGATTTGGTTCACATGGATTGGATACGTGGGGGAATTCCCATGAGAAATTATTAAATAGTAGGCCATCATGATGCCACTAGATCTTCATTTATACAAAAAAAATTATTTCCAAAAAAATACTTCTTGGTCTATAATCCCATTTGCTATTACCATATAGAAACTGAAGGGCTAGACCTGTTGTGTTCAGTAGACCCCCACCTCTCTGGGACAGGAGCATATCTCATTTTATCATGGCTTATGAATCTATTCAAAATAAGAACCCCAGTGAATATCATTCCCCCAAAAAGTAATGGCAGAGATTCATCTAGGTTCATATTAATGTACTAGGAACATGGTGCTCAGATAAACTTGATGACGCTCTTCAAAAGGCACCTTTGAAAGAGAGCAGAAATGTAAAATTTCTCGGGTGGTTAGGGAGATCTTAAGCCAAGTGACTCCTGAGCTCACTGGTAATGAAGATTCCACTGGGAAAGGCAATCATATTAGTCAGGGGCAAGATTTCTAGTTGGCAGACTTTGAATTGGGCAACTCAATGGGTTGGAATCCTTCATCCTGGTGCTCAGAAGTATTATTGGTTGTAACTGATAGTCCTTTGAGGAACACAAGGAGTTGATCCATGGGTGACTTTATGTGTGAATTTATATACCCAGCAGAAAAGAGGGATGGCTGTGCCTACCACAGTTACAGCAACGCTCTTCAAATCCTCTGGGAGAGTGGAGAGAGTAATTCTGTAAATGTGACAACAAATTTTAGGTTTAGTTTCTTAAATTTTGTGTTTCATCTTTTCTAATAGCTACTGAAGTTTCTTTCCTTTATAAAAGAAGAGAGAAAAGGGCGAAGTCTATGGTCCCCCTCTTCTACCAAAAGTATGAGTGGAATTACAGCATCACTGTGATGAATTTAGGCTTTCTTGGAATTACCTTCAGAGTCATTAA